ATATATATATATATATATATATTTATATATATATATATATATATATATATATATATATATATATATATATATATATATATATATATATATATATATATATATATATATATATATATATATATATATATATATATATATATATATATATATATATATATATATATATATATATATATATATATATATATATATATATATATATATATATATATATATATATATATATATATATATATATATATATATATATATATATATATATATATATATATATATATATATATATATATATATATATATATATATATATATATATATGTATATTGTATATCGAGATATGATATTTTGCCCATATCGCCCAGCCATACGAAGAACACACCCCAGAAGTTGTCCTTCATGTTGACAAAATGAGAAGTAGCACATATTAGCAATTGATTTGGACCAAAATCCCTTTCTATCAAGTGCATTAATTGAATTTTCAACCTCACCTGCAGCTCAAAGTTGGTTTGATCCAGGAACTTCTTGCTGAGAACAGCGGCGTATTGATTGATGGCTCGCAGGAAGACTCTGAAATAAGACAATAATGGGATTTAATTCAGCGTAAAAGAGACCACTGCCATAATATGATTATAACTAAACAAGAATTAGTTGAGTCTGAGTTGGAGATCCTGTAGAAAAGGAGTCATAAACACAGACAGTTGCACTCAGAATAATGTCATTCCAGGAAGAACATAAACTACAGATGATAAAGTTAATCACAGCTCTTTAACTCGGCACACTGAGACCACATTACAGGATATTACACACTTAAAGACACTCCGTTCAATAAAGCCCACCGCTAATGAACTATTAGAGAGAACAAGGCATCTTTAGATATTCCTCTAACTGTGTCAGTGCTGAAGATGAGAGAGGGGAAAATTAATCGATGCAAATCACTGCAAAACATCATTCTGCAATCAAATGGAGGATAAACCATTGAAAGTGGTGGATTTTAAAGAGCTGTAATGTCATTGTGAGTGCTAAAACGGTCAATTTTGCAATATAAACCTTTTCTATTAGTGACTAATAGTGTCCTAAAATTCAAAATAAGACACAATAAATGTATAGTGATTGCTTAAAATCACAGCTATGTATGTGATATTGTGATGCGTATTCTTCTAGTATAAAGTGATTCGCAATCAATTTATTCAGTCATTTTCAATAAATAATGTAAGCATCTGTAAAGCTGAAAGCATGTCAAACCAACAAACAAATGAACAAGCAAACAAACAAATATCTTTTAAAGAACATGCAAAAAAGTTGAGTAAAATGCATTAAGAAACTGGCCTTATATAAATGGCATTAATTATTAATATTAATATTATAATAAGCACTATACTACTACAACAGTATTTGCAAAGCAATAAAATGAAAATGCTACAAGTTAAATGTACATTTATTTCAGGTTATAAAAAAAATAATAAATAAATAAACAAATAAATGAATAAATGAATTATTTGATTAATTAAGCACATGCATAAGTTGAGTAAAATATTAAGAATTTAAATAAACTACATTATTTTTAATATTATAATAAGGTTAATTAATTAATAAATGCCAATAAATAAATACTTTTTGAAGAACATGAATAAGAAGCTGAGGAAAATGCATTAAGAAACTGGAGTTCAATAAATTACATCAACAAATAACAACAACAACAACAATAATAATAATAATAATAATAATAATAATAATTATTATTATTATTATTATTATTATAAAACAAGTACTATAATATGAAAATAATATTTAGAAAATAATATAATTAAATAGCTTTAAGTAAAATGCATATTTTTTCAGTTTATATAAATAAATAAATATATTAATATATTAATTAATTAATTAATTAATTAAAAGAACATGCATACGTTGAGGGAAATACATTATCTAAAGTTATTAATAAAATTAATAATATAATAAGATTAAAGATAGCAAATGTTGTCATTTAATTAATGTTTATAAATAAAACAAGAAATAATAACAAACAATAAATAAATAAATAAATAAATAAATAAAAAAAAAAAAAAATAAATAAATAAATAAATAGCAAGTATACAATATTACAGTAATATTTACAAAGGAATATAAGTAAATTGCTAAGAGTAAAATATATTTTTATTTTCGGTTATAGAAAATAAATAAATAAATACATTTTAAACAACATGCATAGGTTGAGGAAAATGCATTAATCAAAGTTACATAAATTAACAATATTATAATAAGAATACACACAGTGAATTAGCAAATGCTGTCATTTAATTGATGTCAATTAATAAAATAACAACAACAGCAACAACAACCATACATTAAAAAATACAAAAAAATACACTAGGAAACTTAAATGAAATTCATTAATAAATTATATTATCCATTATAATAGGGTTAAAATAGGATTAAAAATAGCAAATGAGCAAATATGTCATTTAAATATTAAATAGCAATTAAATATAAATAAAATAAATTAATATAATAGGCAATAAGTAAACCACTAGGCCTCATAAACACAAGCCCAGGATTATGTATTAAGAAACGAAACAGTGTTTATATAATGAAGCACTTCAGTTTTCACAAAGATGGTAAATCTAACGTCCAACATTATCATGTAACGACACTTGAGAAAAACCCATATCAAGTGTTAAAGTCACCATCTGAGGAAGATCAGACATTTGTGATTTATTAATATCCAGCATATGGCTGTCTGTGTTTGACAAGTCATTATCGCCTCTGGATTTCAGCAGTATGTCCAGCTGTGTAAACGCATCTGAAGTCTCATTAATGGAGCTTTAATCTGGAGCCGAGCTGAATGACTTGCTGATAAACACCGCGAGTTTGTTCTGCTTTCATTGTAGAGACTCATTCAATCTGCTTATAATGAGCTGGAGACATCAGTAAAAGTCACTGATGACAAATCCTAATCACAGTTCTGCTGCAATATGTTGCCTTAAAGTAATTTAAAGTGCTTTACATAAACAGGGATAAAACAGACAAGTATAAGAAAATAAAAACAAAGAATAAAATGATTCAAAACAGATTAAAATGTGTTAAAACAGGTTTTAAAGGAATGAAAAAGAAAAGAAAGACATAATAGTGTAATCTGTCGGCTACTGAGAATGCGTGAGTGATTTCAAGAAATATCGCACCTCTCTGCAGTAAACCGCAGTAAAGCAGAACATGGTCTAAAAACACAGCCCGCTGGCCGGATCACTATATATATATATATATATATATATATATATATATATATATATATATATATATATATATATATATATATATATATATATATATATATATATATATATATAAATATATATATATATACATATGTACATCTATATGTATATATGTGTATATATCCATCCATAACTATCTATCTACAGGACGATACATATTGACACAGATACATGCAGATACATATATATATATACTTTTGAGGCTATATTTGTCAAGAATGTATCTGTTCAAATTGCAACTA